CCTGCCTTGGCTTGGATAACCTGGCAGCACTCGTTTCAAATCGTGAAACGTTTTTTATAGAGATTATTTTACCACAAAACATTTGGCACACAATCTGGCCCCAGACGTGAGTGAAATTTATATAAATATATATAGATCCGGTTGTCTGCAAACGGTTGAGTGCACTATCATTCATAGCGGTGAAAATTATCGGAAATGAATACGCTTGTTTAGATTGGTAAGCCTTAGTTAGATCTGAATCCATACAAGAGTGCTACCTCTTCCTTTCTACCGTGTGAGCTCTGCTGGTTGTCTCTCAAATGAACCCATGCAATTTATGGACTCTAGGTGATCAAATACCACATCCGGTCCCCCCCTTCCACTGGATATTCAACTGGACGCTACCGGGTAACCAATAGATTCATGCAAGTTGTATAGATTTGGTTGAATGATAGATTGCATGCTTCCCTGCAAATGAAGTGCAGGTTGTTGAAAGTTATGATTGGCGTATTCATATGGCTCCTAATCCCATGTCTCTAATTTTTTCACAGTGAGTGGAAACATTCAATATATCTGTTTTATATTTAATCATCTATGTGTGAATCATTTTTGAAAGAGTGCATCAGGATGAAAGTACACTATGACAGTATTTTACTTCGGATACACGCGAAATCAGACAGTAAAAAGGATTTTGTACATTCTTCCCACCTGATTTTTACCCAATTTGAATTTGACCGTCAATTTGGTTTGTTTTATTTGAAAAATAATACAACCAGCAGCGTCCAGATGTCCATCTTTGTTTGGTATAGAGTCCATTGAAAACACTGTTTTAACTCTTCAGTCTGTCATAAAATCGAAAAGCTCTTCACACTTATCATCAGTTGTATGGGCCGCATAAGTGGAGCAGTCATACTACTGAGTCTTTCCATTGCAGCAATCTTTCCATTAGGTTTTATCCAAGCAACTGCTACCGGCCGAAAAAATTATTGAACTCAACGTTTCGTTTTACCATTGATTTAATCGCAGATTGGTTGACCACTCACCCATATTGGACCCTGAACTTATGAAACAACTGACGCGTGAGAAATCGTTCAATCTCTTAACAGCACTGAATTTATCATGTGCACATAAATTTTTCAAACTGACAACAAATTTCACCTACACTCCTAATACCTAAAGGCTGTCAAATTTGGCAACAGCATGTAGAATGACACAAATAGTATCGTACATGGATAGAAATCAGAAAA